ACTTAAGCAGATTGATTAAATATTCTCAGCACGGCTTTATGTTAAAATAAAGTTTCAAATTTGGATATGCCAGCTATAAATGTTCCTTATTATGAGACAAGTTCCCTTAAAATGTGCTCTGTTAAACTCCATAAATATCACAAAATTCACAGAATCTAAAAATCTTACTGTATTCTCTTGCTAAAAGGTTTATGAAAATAGGATTATATTTACTCCTGGAAAAAAATTAAAATTACATTCTTCACTCAGTCTTCACTCTAGACTATGCTTATTCATTCACAATCAACAATGTAGATTTTAATTAAAATACTTTTCTGTATTTCATAACACTAAAAGGAACAATTTTTTAAATAATGTAAGACCTGTCACAAGGTATCAAAAAGTATTCCTTGTATAAGTTTCTTGCCCATAGACTAAAGTAATCCATAAATTTATGTTGATTTAGTTCACATTAAGGTTCCATTCAGATAGTACTTAGAATGAAAAACTCATAGTAGTAATAAATTCTACCAAAATACATTTATACCCTGACATATAACAATTTAATTAGAAGTAGCTAAATGAATCGAGCAGTATACTTGTTTGGCAAGCAAGAATATAAATGAATCAGCCCATCCATATGTGTGGGTTCCATATCAGTGGATTCTACCAACCGCAGATCAAAAATAGTCATGAAAAAATAAAAATAAAAAATAACAACAATAAAAACCAATACAAAATCTGAAATATTGTATAACAGGTTTCATAGTATTGCATTGTATTAGGCATTATAAGTAATCTAGAGATAATCGAAAATATATCGATGTGCAAAGGTAAGACACAAACAGTACCTTGTTTTGTAAAAGCCATTTGCACATCCATGAACTTTAGTACCCACAGGAGGAAAGGGGGTTCTGGAACCAATCCTCTGCTGATTATCGAGGAATGACTGTAATCACGCAGTGAGTTGGCACGCATGATTACAGAGAGTTTAATTGTGAAGGGGAGGATGTGTTGTTTAGGACAGTAAGGCTGAAAAGCATTTGTTTGCCTGAAAATATGACAAGGAGACCAGAGCATTACTGTGGGACTTACTATAAGAAAAGGATAGTAAGAGTGTCTTACAATTCTTGGACTTGAGAAAGCTTATGTTCTAGTCCTCCATTGCTCAACGAAAAAGAAAGGAAATAGTCACAAGCCAGGGCTGCATCCAAGATAAATAAAAGGTCAACTCTTGGCTGAGTTGTTCAGTTACTCAAAGAAACCCCAGCTAAACTTTATGCTACATTTAACAAGAAATTTGTGAATACCCATAAGTCCCAGAGTTCTCTCAGAGCAGCCTAATGGGCAAAATGTGTACCCCAAACTGGGAAATTCATACAATCATCTATGTCAGCATTATAATTCTATGATTCTACTTAGAGCCACTGTAGCCTAAACTGTTCTATTTTGAACATAATTTCATGAGAAATAATCTACATAGCTCCCAAAATAATCTGCTTCTAATTATATATGTGTATATATATGCTCTAAGATAAATGCTTCAAGCAGGCAAGACCTTCTGAACAGAAGCTGGCAGAAGAGTTTGCTTAGACAACAGCCATGCAGTGACTCATCTGTGTTTTCACAACACGTTTCTACCCAGCACCCATGTCTATTTGTAGCCTGACAATAAAGGCCCTATGTGAACCATCTCTGAGCTGTCTGCCTTTAAAAGCAAGGACACTTCTCAGTTGACTCATTTGAGCTGCCTGTGCTTTTGAGAATAACCCACTGCCACATTTAAGAAGGCATGTGACACAATTGCAGATTATTTCAGGCTCTGCCAATGCGTTTCTGCTTAGTCTTGGTCTAGTGTTTAGAAAAGCAAGTGAAGCCAGAGGATTTCATCCCCCAAATAAGCCCACTACATACCACTAATATCTCTTGGGGGTAACTGAAAAAGACTGTTTTCATCAACACTCTACACTATAATTGGGATTCAAAATTGGAATTCTTGTCTATTTTGCTCATCTATCTTTATCTCCAGCACTTAAAACAGTGTCAAACACATAGTAGACACTCCATAAATATTTGCAAAGAAACATGTCAACTTCTGCCGTAGACCTGTAAAATGACCTGGGCCTGACCACCAAATCTATAAAATATTTTCTTACCCTGGTCCCAGGTCAAGAAGACTTCTCCTGCCAGAAAATAAAAAATTTTGAGTGGCAAAGTCCACACCCTTTCAATGAAGAGATTATCTTCCACATTTTAAATCACCTTACTCCCCAGTCCTTAAAATAGATAAAACTAATAATATTTATTGAGTTTCAGTTCAACTAATTTATATTAACAGTCATTAATTTTCTATCCACTTTTTTCAATGTTTCTGCCATCTACTGTGACTTTTAGATGTATCAAATTGTAGTCAAGAAGAAAGACATTGCCAACATGTTTCTTAAAGGAAAAAAGCTTCAGAAGGGAGTGAAAAATACATTCTTCAGTATTTTCATTCACAGAAACCTATAAAATAATCCATCTACAGTTTCAGTGAAATTATCAATGGAGGTTTAAAAATCTATTAATAAAATAATCAAATTACACCTGGAAAATTTCCCCATAAATTTGAAAGTCAACTCCTAGGAGTCACATCCAACAAATGGTTATTTTAGTGGACTATTTAACATCCTAAAGCACTAAAAGCATTTACGTTTCTCCTGAAATTTTTAGAACCCAGAAATTAGCTAATTCCACCAGCAAGGCCTTTTTCAGGTCATATATCACAGAGGAGAAAAATGCCGATTAACTATGTATGTTACATAATAGAGTCCTCTACTTTCCCAAAACTTATTCATATAGAAGTTCATATACCTAGGAGGGATCAAAACGAACCTGAACAGACTTCTTCTCTAGAATCAGATGCAACATTGTAAAGCCAAGTCTTACAAGATTGCAAAGAATTACAATACAATTCAAAAAAGACAATAAACTAATACACATAGGCATTATTGCAATGTCCCGTCCCAATGAGAATGTCCATCAAGAAAAAAAGTGTAAAAATTATCTGCACAACACAAGAAAGTCTCTATACATTCTGACAGACAGAAGAGTTTTGTTCTTACCGCCCTCTCAAAATCACAGCTTTCTTCTATTAACATGTGGCTGCCTGTGTTATCTTTTTCAAGCTAGCTGTAGGGTGTTTCCCCAGTGCCATCTTCTCCATTTGCTTTCTCGAACTATCTGTTTCAGTTATCCTTATGCTGTCATTTAGATAAAGAATAGCTGCCCAACTTGGATATAGATCAAATTTTATAAAAATTCTATTACTGACATCACTACTACAGTTTAATTTATTCATTCTTGTCTTACAAATGAGGGAAAAGGAAAAAACACACTCTCTGTATATTTCAACTCTATGTCCTACTAGAGTTGGTTTTTACAAACCATGCTGCAGATCTCTCACTGGTAACACAGAGATAAGTGTTCTTTGACCAGCACGATGTTATTTTCTAAAATGTTAATCAGCTGCCAATAACTTAAAATCACTGGTTTCACTAAGAATTAGAATTTTCAGCCTCTCTTTGAAAATCAGAAAATGAAGCAATACTGGGTACACATTTATGTGGGCAAAAACAAAGCTGAGTGGCAACTGAGTCTGATACAGCATGTGCTCTTAGAAGGCACGCAGTCCCCCTGCTGTAAGAAAGCCCAAGTTAGCTATATGGAGAAGTCACGTAGAGAGTTTCCAGACCCCAAATATTCCGGACATTCTAGCTTAGGCATCAACACATGAGTAAAGAAGCTGTTGTGTGACCTCAACGTCTGCTGCCATCTGACTGCAAGTGTATGAGGGACCAAAGAGAGAACCACTCAGGTGAGCCAACCCACCACCAAAACCATGAAAGAGACTAATAAAATGGTTGTCTCAAGCCTCTGAGTTTTGGGGTAACATGCTATGCAGTAATAGATAAGAACTAAAAGATAAAAGTATACTTAACAAAATAAAATACAACTGTATAATTTCTCCCTTTTTACTTAGGTCAACATAGATGTTATAATCTTCATAGTATTTCTGTATTTAGACAAAAATCTTAAACATACATGTGCCCAGGAAAGAAAATCAAAGTAGAAAAAAAATCAATCCTCTGGAATCAGCTGCATTAAAAATAATCATAATAAGTTGGCTGACACCACTTATGAATGCCCCATAGGTCTTACAATAATAGTAAAGTGGAAGGCTTGAATCTGGTCCTTTTCACAGGAATATAACTTCATTCATTACTCTGTATTCATCACCTAGCACAATACCTTTTTTTCAAATGACTGGATCAACTAAAAGTAGCTCTGGACATATTTTTCTGTTGATGGAGGGAATCAAAAACATCTTTCCTATCATCAAAACTTTAGCTATTATTGTTACAGAGGGAAGGCAGATGCTATCTTCGAAGTAACCAACTAATTGTAGTTACAATTAATCATATAAAATAAGGCAAGCCAGAGTCTTTACAGCTTAATGAGAATCAGGTCCACCTACAGGAGATACAGCTGTTAGCTTGAATTCATTGAAACCAAATTATACCAGTAAACATGCAAACCCAACTTTGAGCAAAGCACTCAATGGTTTCATGGTATTTGCTCACGTGTAAAATTAGGCTAATCACATATTCCTAAAGAAAGTGTAATCATCAAGCTTAACAGAATATGTTCCACATAGTCAAAGTAGTAGAAGATCTAAACCTTGTGCGCTGTACGAAATTAAAGCAGCTGATATGCTTTTGCCCAAATAGAATTGTATATCCTCATTTCCTTCCCTTCCTTTCCCCACTTGTGACTCAAGCCAGATTTCATCGAGCTATTTTTATAATTACTAAAATGCTGGAAATACAGCAGCAGGCCAGAAGCAAAGTAAAATGCAGCATCCAGCAAAAGAAAGAAAATCACGCTGAGTAACTGAAAGGCCATCTGCTTCTAACTGAGCTGTAGGGGTGAGGAAGGCAATCTGGGCTGTACTATTTGTGTCCGCCCCAAACCATACCCACCTGCATGTTGTCAGTGGCATCCCCAAGCAGTCCTCCAAAAGTGATAGCATTAGTTACAGTTGCCAGATAAATGAAGAGAATTGCCGAAAGAGCTTGAATATTTAAAGCATCATAAAAATCACTGGCAAAAAATGGTGCTTTCCTCTTTATGTCTTTAATTAGTCCACCACAGAACCTGGGCAAAGAGAATGCAAACATCTACTACATGTAAAGTAAATGACTATCAAATGAATCAAGAGGTAACTCATTAAATCAAACATAACATATTTAAAATGCTTGAATTAGTCATGAGATACTACTTAACCACTTGCGATGAAACCAGAAAACTATAAAGAAATCAATTTTCTTCTATCTCTTTATTTTTGGGTCACCCAATTAGGTGTCACATTTCCTAAAGATCAGCCAGTTGGTCTTTAGATAAAAGTGAACTATGTAAATACATTAAAATTTTTCATTGCCTAGAGAAAAACATCCAAATATGAGAGCATATCATATAAGGCCCTTCATCATCTTGCCACCGTATCCTTCTGCCCTCATTCATTCATTCACTCACTCGTTTATTTATCATTCATCCTTTCATCCCATAAACGCTATTGAGCACCTGTGATATGCCCACACTCGGGCCCTTTTCTGAGTGCGGAAGACACAACAGTAAACAACACGGGTCAAAAAGCTCTGCTTTCATGGAGTTTACTCTGGGGATCAAAAGGAGGCTGACAATAGTAATAATCAATAAATGCATAATAAATGAATATATGAATTATTCTACATTTAATAAATGTATAATAATAAACGAATAAATGCAACACATAGTGATAAAAATCAAGAGAAAAATTAAAGGGGGAAGAACATTATGTAGTACTGGAGAAAAGGTGGTTGAGATTTTAGATAGAGTGGCCAGAAGAGGCCTCCAAGAAGGTGACTTTAGGTAAGGAGCTGAAGGAACTAAGGGAGGAAGCATGCAAGTGTGTGATGGGAGGAAATGCAGCTGAACCCCATAACAAGTGTCAGCAGGTGAGCTGAGTGACTTTCACATCGGTCTACTCACCCTCCCAACCAAACTTCAAACCTCAGCCTTCCCCAGGGCTTCTGCCTAGAATGCCCTATTATGAAGCTCAACAGCTCTCCGAAGTCTTGACCTAGAACTTAAGGTTCATATTTCCACTCTGGGCTATCATACTTTATAAGGATTATCTATCTCTCTGTCTGTGCTCCTACTGGATTTTAGCTGACTCAGTGCCCTGCTTCAGTTTTCTTAGTATTCACAGGGCTGTGCATGGTACCAGGCATACTGCGGACAATCAATGAATTTAGCAAAGGTGAAATGTAAAAGAATGAAATCGATTCTGATTAAATTAAAAATTGAATTCCAGAACTCATATCTGTAGAAAAAGAAAAGGATATTCCTAATGGAAATAGTTTACAAAAAAAGATGGGAGAGGAGAGGAGAGAAGATTTTTATGTTCTCTATCTTTTGAGAATAAAGGAGAGGGGAATAATATCCTGTCAGTTTGGGAGAGAAATCCAAGTGGGTCATCAGGAGAAGGAAATAACTTCATTTCATTCAGTTTCAATTGCATATTATAATGACATACCTTTTCATTTTCAAAACCCATGCAGTGTTTTTAAAAAACTGTATCTTTATAAAATAAGTATCCCACTTAAAATCTTACTTAATCCCCAATAAAAGGAAGAATCTAATGGTAGGAAAGGAAGAGTTATCATGGAAAGAAATTAGCTGAAGCAATTTATGAAAGCTGAATTCTCAACTTCAGGTAAAGAGGCAGAAGAGTGAGAACTCATTCCTGTATCATGTTCCTCACTTTTGAATACACATACAGGCGAGAAATGTAATTATGAAAGCCAAAAGGTGAAGGCTGGTACATCAGTCAGTTCTCTGCCATCTCTCTGACCCTAACATGCCCTCAGTCATTCCCCTCAGTCTTGCTGGTTTTGGTGCCAGCCCTGCCACACACCAGGCACTCTGTTGCAGTCCCACCCCCACCCCCACACCCACCACACCCACATGGTCTGTCTCCCATCTCCTGCAGTACTTTCCCCAAATGTTGCCATTCTCTGTAAGGCCTTCTCTGGACACTCTATCTAAAACTGGAATACAGTACTCCCATCCCCAAAGTCCCTATTTCTGCCTTAATTTTCCTCATAAAACCATCATCACATTTACTAATTTGCTTATTATTTATGTCTTGTCACTATAATATAAGACCCTACGGGAAGACAGTATCATTTAATTGACTGCTATATTCCCAATGCCTGTGACAAATTGTTATACTGTAAATATTTGTTGGCTGAACAGATGAACAAATTGATGAATAAAATGAAAGATGAAGGGAAATTTACACCTAAGGAGAATGTTGTCATGAATGGCAAAAGGAACTGTCAGTTACCGTCCAGTTCGCTGCAATTCTTCACAATCCCCATGTCCTCCTCCTCCATGTCCTCCATCATGGGGCGTATCCCCATTCATCTGAACATTCTCTCCACCTGAGTACATATTCTTTCTAAGCAAGACAACAGACACCAAGAGCATATTAGTTTATTTTATTCATTTGCTTCTTAGCTATATCATGTACTGGCTAACAAAAAGATGAAGTGAAAATCCTTAAGGTAAAAGATCATTATTTCTTTCTGCTACCTAATAGGCAATTTTTTAAGTGTTGCATTTAGAGCCAATACGAATGACTGAATGAGTGGGAAAGTTGAATGAACTGTATATCTTGTAAGAGCGAAACTGTTTCATCTGGGAAAAAATTAATTTCCAGAAAACTGTTTCTCTTCAACTACTTTACTCATTTTTTTAACCGTGTACATCTATAAGGACTCACCTTCAGCAAACTCATGTTTCCAGATATACTGGGAGTCCTCAAAACATCCCCCAAAGAATGTCTGTGATGCATTCCTATGTATCTGAGATCTCCAATTTATAATAACTGAAGAACATCATACCCATAACATTTATTTTACAGTGTCAAGGAAACATGAAGCCAAGGCATATAAGTGATCCATTTGGGAAAATACATCAAATTAAACAGGAATCTGAAAATATTAGAGCAATAGGTTGACCTCACTGTTTTTTTAAACACGATCTCCTTCTCAAAGTCATCCCAGCAACTGAAAACTATCAACTGTCTATAATTTACCTTTTGTCAGAGGATGGAAGACTCTTAGGAGGCTCTATCCTAATTGCTGGATCCCATTCCCCAGGTGGAAGGACAATGACTTCATCTAGGAACTCATCAATACCAGCAATCAGGTCGTGCCTGTCTTTTGCTTTATAAGCAATGTCATGAAACACCTAAAGAATAATAAAAGATGTGTTCATTCAAAAAGAGAACCCTGCACATGCTTCACACCATGTCAAGCCTGAAGAATGCAACCCATAACAACTGTGCTATTAATATTAATCCAGCCACGCTCTCATAGTCCCTGTGATTCAGCCTGTTCCCAAAAAATACAGGCATATGGATTCTGATTTCAAAGAATAGAGATAGAGGCTTGAACAAAATGCTTTGTCTTTATGTGGTTTCTTTCCTACCAATAATGTAAAACAAAATTGCCTTTCCGCTCCCACCGGCATGTACCACTCCTGATACAGTTGCTATGGAAGTCAGATTAAAATGGTTTGGAGAAACATACTAAAGAGTCATTTCCTGAAATAAAAACTACTGGGATAAAAATTGCTCATAACTCAAGAAGAAAAAGTTCAAGCTGAGTGTTAAGATTAGGTTAAGACCCAAACACTGAGTTCTCAAACATATAAATAATGTGAGATATTTACAAAAGAAAAATCTGGGTTATACTGGCAGCACATTAGCCAAAGGGCCTTGAATAGCAGATCATCTGCCTATCCTTTAGCAAAGCAACAACAAAACCATCCAATGCAGCAAGTGCTTCATATCTTTTATACAGATCTCCAAAGAAAGAGGTTCCAAAATGTACACAATCCTTCCTGTCAATTGTTCCATTTTTCTAACAGAGCTGATGATCTGAAATCTCTTTATACATAACCTAAGTCTTTCATACTTCGTATGTCAAATTCTTCAGTCTTCAGAAGAGAAGATGGTCCCTGTTCAATACCCTTGCCTATTCTTAAAGATTGCGACTAAATCACTTCTCTTGGAAAAGAATTTTTTAAGCTATCAATTAAGTAACATTAATGGTCTCGGGGTTGTGGGGTTGAGGGGAGGGTGACACAAAATGCCAGCACATAATCTGTGGCAGATACAGCCACCCTCAACCTTATTTTCTCTTGCTAATTCCCATGATAGAGGCTGGAAAGTCACAGATTCACTTCCCAGCCAACTGTGCAGATAAAGATGAACAGTTCCAACCAATAAGATATAAGAAAAAGGCTGTCTGGGAAAGCTTTAGAATACCTGATAAAAGATGAGATGCAGCTAGCATTACCACACCATCCTTCCTACCTTTAATACAGATAAGATGAATATAGATAAGATGACTGGAGTTGATGGTAGGCAATGTCGTTTTACCATACTGACAGGAAAAAAAATGCCATTTCAAGACCATAAATTTAGCAAGAGCTTCAGCTCTTGATTTATCATTAAGCCGTTATGTTAAAATAACCCCAGCAACTACCTACCTCCAAATTTCCAAATAAAATCCCAAATTGTTTAAGCCACTCTAAATCTCATTATTTAAAGCATTCTTAATTGAAATATCTTAGGAGAACGTATTTTTAAAAACAAATAAATTACAAAAATGCAAAAAATAAAATGAATTCACTGAGATGAGTGAAATAGATGTTCTCTTCAGGGGAAAAAGCAGCATAGCCATAAAGCTTTCGGTTCCAGAATAAAGTAGCTACCTGAGTAATTACCACAGGGAACCTCTATAACTAAGGGGAAAGGTACCCCATTCTCCACTTAACACAGAAAAAATTGACAAATCAAGCAATGAAGCAGAAGCAACACATTTGGGGAAACAGTAAGCCAGAAAGACCCAGGAGCAGCAACTAATGGTCCTCTATTCTAACAGTATTTCTCCTGCTACTGGGAATAGTTCAGAGTTTTATTATATTTAAAATATATGTAACAACATCCAGGCTGTTATGAAAGTAAAAGGGTCATAATTCCAAAGTACCTGTATAGATACTCTGCCATAATGGTTGCTAACGCATTTTTAGATGTGTATCATTCCTTCCCACAAAATAAGAAAGCAATAAAAACATGTGCTTTCTGATACCTAAGAAAAAATACATTATCCATTTTATTAAACATGATTTTATAGAACCCATCATTTCTGAAACATAGTATATAAGCATTTGAACTCACAGAATTAGTATATTAAAAACTTCAAGAGATAAAGTTTAGGTCAATACAATGGCCTTGAACTTTTTTATTTTGAGAATGAGTCTTGCTCTGTTGCCCAGGCTGGAGTGCAGTACCATGATCTCAGCTCACTGAAATCTCAGTATCCCAGGTTCTAGCAATTCTCCTGCCTCAGCCTCCTGAATAGCTGGGATTACAGGCATGTGCCACCATGCCTGGCTAATTTTTGTATTTTTAGTGGACTCGAGGTTTCACCATGTTGGCCGGGCTAGTCTCAAACTCCCGACCTCAAGTGATCTGCCCACTTCAGCCTCCCAAAGTGCTGGGATTACAGGCGTGAGCCACCATGCCCGGCTGACCTTGAACTGTTTAAAGAATATTTAACATATATCAGTTTTAAGAAATGAAAATGTTTTGCAAAACAAAGAAAAATATGTTTTATTCCAACAGAGTTTAGAATCCCTTACGAAACCAAAATGCATGCCTTACTTTTTGAAAACCATATAGCAGTCAGCTCATTTGTCTCAAATGACTGTACCTTATGTTACAAGGAAGTCTAGTAATCACATAATTCTAACTGAATACACTGTGACAGCCAATTCGCAGTATGAAAACAACACAAGTAGGACATTCACAGAACTCCATCTTCCTGATTTCCTACCTCATCAGACATCAAGGTGGCAATGGCTCTGCCAATCTCATGGTAGGACTTGGCTTTCCCCTTAGGACCTAAGAGGATGAACAAGAACCTAACGGAAAAGGAAAAAATTTCATCAAACTCAATATACATAAAACTGAGAAATGTTTAACTTAGTTCATAAAAAGGTTAGGTTTAGAATTCACCTTTAAAACAAAGGTAATATTCCTGGTAATATGAAGGATACTCTTTTGCACTGTCACAAAACACAGTTGTTTATTTATTTATCGTTTATTTGGCAGCAAATGAGAATCTAGCATAGAAATCTGAGAAGGTTCTTCGCTGAGCAGGAAAGGTGCATTTCAAGCACTTTAGAGGAGTCATTCAATCTTTCCTTTTTAAACCTTTTTTCTCTCTCCATTTCTACTGACTTTCGGAATCTTTGAAGCAAACCCATTAAGCACAATAACTGGAAAGACTTAGTACATCTTTACATTTCTCTGACTTTTCCTTATCCAATATGGTCAATGACAGATGAAGGGCTTCACACTTTTAAGAAATATTTCTACTCAGAAGTGACTGGGATTCAGCAAAAACCAAGTCCTCTACAAGTAAGCCACATGCTGACAGCCAAAGTAAGGAAAGAGAAATATGACAGAAATTCAAAATAAAGCATCAGTCACAGACAGTCAAAATTCTTTTGTGGGTGTCCTCTTGTCTTTTACCAATATTTTTTTCTTCATAATGCACAAAACCTTGCTCCATAGCAAACATGCAATAACTAACTTAAACCCACCTAGGTTCACCTCTAATCGTGTTGGAAAAAAATCCCTCACTGATCACAGAAGGCCTTTGCCCTTGTAGCGTGTCGGCACTGGGGATGAGGGAATCTGATAAGTAAATGAGTAGGAAAAAAGATATAAAAAATATACCAAAGGTGACATCAGATAAATTCCACCTTGATATTAATCATGTATCACCTAACGGGGAGATAGTGAGTACAATAAAAATGATAACATCATATGCTTGCCCAGCTTTTAAAGCCTGCAAAGCATTTCACATTCATCACTTTATTTACATTTCCATATGACCCCCTGCAATAAAGAAGGTATCCTATTTCCATTTAATGGTGAGGAAAGTGAGGCTGAATTAGGTTAAGGGAAGAGCCCAAGATCTGTGCCTAGTAAATGATAAAGGGCAGACAGATAGGTATTCTTATCTCCTGTTCTTTTCACCACATATTTCTGCCTAATATTATCTGCCCAACTGATAAACCAAGCTTGTGATTTAACAGAAGTCCAACAATGACTTCTATAGGTCACCCTGGGGAAAGAACTTCTGGATGCTTAGCTAGGGACAAGAAATCTTAGGTAAGATATTTATGGTATCAGAAATGGCTTGCTACTTTGCTTAGCCAAATTTTATTCTTAACTTACTTATCTATATACTTCACTTTAAATAAAAAAGAATTGACAGTAAATACTTTAAAATATGTTTGGGTCTGTTTCAAAATGCTCTTGAATGTATAATTACTTTTTTTAATTATAAAATTCAACCCAAACAGGATTGTAAAACCCCAGAAATAAAGAATGTAAAAAGGTGTCTGAAAGTATGAATACCCAAGTTTTATACTAGAATAATCATAAAACCACTTAGCACTTATTTGCTTAGAAACCAGTTCTGGAGTAAAGCAGCACACTCACTTACAAGTGTTACGATAGTAGATAGCAATCAGCAGACACCAAAGGCTGTTCAAGTATGAAGGAAGTCATTATTTGAATTGAATTTTAGCTCTTCGAACACTGAAGTTCAATTGACACTAGAACTTTCATTCCTTTGAAGCTGGCTCCTAATTACATGCCACTATGTATAGGATTATAAAGTGCTTCTTTAGGACCATAAAATGTACTTTTCTAAAGGAACTGATCACTGATTTGAGTGCAACATACACAAAAAAAATATTTAATGATTAAAGCAAAATAATTCTTTAATCCCATTAAGAAACACAAGTACTAGTCACATTTCTTAATTCCTTTTGCCTGACTACAAGTGGCCATTTTTCAAGACAATAAGGGTGTAGGTTTAGGGGAAAAGGGGCAGATGGTGTGCCACAAGGGAAAATATCTAACACCTGGATCCTTTACTTAGTACATTTTTAAATAATGGATTTATTTTGCTTCCATTTTTCATTATCTTCATGTATCTAAATATTAACTTTTCAGTAACACATATCCAAAACTTTTCCAAAACCACTCTGTATCTCTTCCTGCCTCTCTCTAGCACTTCCATCAATACAGCTTACAAATACGTATTATGAAAATATATTTATCAACTGACATGAGTGAATTATCAGATTGACTATATGGCAACAAAGCCAAAATACTATCTTGTTAGTGAGGAAACATTCTCAGTCATTAGTAGTCTTCAAACATAAACTTTGACAGCCAATGGGTATTCCAATAGCTGACAGAGTAATTGAGCCTCCAAGTTATATCCTAAGAGATAAGGACAGACATTTTCTATAAATTAATTACTCTTTGTTCACTGCTAAATAGTACCAGTTAAAGAATGAAAGAAAGCAGAAGATCAATGCTGTCTACAACGATAGCAATAAACCTAGTATATGAGAATTATATTGGTTCAGTAACCCAGATATAAAAGTAGTATTCCTCTTTCCTGGGTAATGCAATTTTTATTTTTTAAAGAACATATTTCTTCATTAATGGAATAACACCTAGGGCCAAACCATTATGGTGGACATACCAGTTAAAATTTTCACATTACTCCAATCAGGAATAATACAGTAAATCTACCTTCTTAAAATGATACATAGAGAGAATCCAAGCATTCATAAGCAGCAAGAAACATAACTTGAAGCCAAAAATGTCATCTGGAGGAATGGAGACCCTTAAGAAGCTTCTAATCTGGACTGCATTACTGAAACGGGATGAGAAATCTGAGAAAACTGAACACAAAACAATCTAACAAGTTGAAGTTCCCTCTGCCTGAAATATGTTTTCTCTCCTTTAACCTTCAAAGAAGTGAAAGCTGTTACAACTTTTATGATTGAAGTACATCCGCCAAACTCAGTTTTTATAATGTACTGAAAATTCCTTTCATGACCCAAGCTGATTTTTCTCAATGGACAGATGTTATTTTTATCCAGAAGCTTTTTTTCTTTATTAACAAATTAGAGTAAACATCACATTTGTGTGGCTGCAAGGGCACAGCTTATGTTTACAGCTCAGAAAAGAAAAAATTATATTACTAAGTTTTTTTTATTCACTCAGAAATAAGTCAGAGTTACAATTTTTAATAGCATCTAGTTATCTGAAGACTCTTCATGAGGCCCTTTTCTACTTTTTTGTGTTTTTCATACAGTTAATTACACCTGGGGAGGATGCCTCCAGCATTCTCAACAACAAAAGGAAGTATTAACCAATCTGTGTCCAGAACCAATGGCCTATACTCACATTCACAAAATAATTATAGGCAGAAACGGAGCATAATATGAGAAAAGGAGCAAGCCTTCCTAAAACATTAGAAGTTTTTGGAAAAGATGTACACCTCCCTTTCCTGATACATCACAGTTATTTCCAGCATAAACTCAGCATGTACCAACCCTTTATATCCTTCTCTCAAAACAACAGTGAATTCAATAACCCATTATTCATCTTTATCAGCTCTGGAAAATGTGGCTAAACTGTGGCTTCCATAATGGATTCATGAGGACCACAAACCCACCATAACCAACTGCATTACACACAGTAAATATTAATAGCAGCTAGCAATTAAACTGGTGGATGTGACAAAATTTAACTAGCAGGACCTCCATCCCAACCCCTCTAATAGTTTTCTTAATGTTTTTGACAATTAACCACAAACTACTACTTTTAGATAAATAATTATTTGTAACATATATATTATCTTACAGTGCTACTAAGAGAGTAAATATTCTAAATTTTTAATACTCTAGACTTTATTACATGTGCAAATCAAAGATCACAAAAGTACAAAGTAGGGTTTCATTCTTCTTTATGAGAGAACCCTAAAACATTTTATTCCAATCCATTCTAGAATCTCCCTAGGCTCTCCCTAAAACTCTTGCCTCAGTTTCAGAAATCTAACTAAAGTTCTATTCCCAGCACTGATGCTGAATCTTCCCTTTGCCTTCATCCTCTCAACTGTAAAATGGCATAAGAAGAATAATATTCATCCCTATATAACTAAAAAATATGAATAAGGCTGGGTGCAGTGACTCATGCCTGTAATCCCAGCACTTTGGGAGGCTAGGACGGGTGGATTACTTAAAGTCAGGAGTTTGAGACCAGCCTGGTGAAACTCCATCCCCACAAAAATACAAAAATTAGCTGGGTGTGGTGGCGTGCACCTGTAATCCCAGCTGCTCAGGAGGTTGAGGCAGGAGAATTGCTTGAACCCGGGAGGCGGAGGTTGCAGTGAGCCAAGATCATGCCACTGCACTCCAGTCTAGGTGACAGAACAAGACTCCATCTTACTCATAAATATATATATATATATATATATATGAGTAAGAGTAAGTGGTGGCCTCTGGACAGACATAAGATTACAGCAAGCAAAGTGCCTGCAAGATAGTAGGAAAATAATAAACATATCCTATCACGTCACCAAAGATCAAAAAAGGCAGTCTGTTTGCTTTCACATGAATGTCAAGAGGGGCCCCTACACAGACAGACATCCGCCCAGTTGATAGTCATCAGCTGCAAGTGGAGGCCTAAAACAGATCAAGCAAGTGACAGAGTAATTAGTGAAATTTGTGAACTCTACACCAGAAAGGGGAGCTGCTAGAGCCATACTTCCTAAAAGGTGGATGGTAGTAATACTGTTTATTAGAAATAGAAATAATCATAACAGCAGCAGCACAACCTTCCTCCACCTTTAAAAGGAAAAATGACCATAAAAAGATGTGTGCAAACACAGATTTTTCAAGTTTTCTTTCAGTACAACAGAGTAGCATGCACGTGAAAGCACATCATGAAATGCAGACGCTGTCCCTCACAATGCCCACCACATTCCTTGTGGGATTTCTTTTATTGGGTTTCACAGGATGCAGCCATTATAAATGGCTCTAAGTTGCCTACACAAAAAAACCTAATGATACTCCCTACTCAGTGATTATAGCTTATACTGGTTCAGAGGACAGCAAATGGTTGAAACTATTTCCATGAAAAATGATAACATGCAAGGATATATTGTTCAGATTATTGCCCTGAAACAGTTGACAATATTATTGAATTGCATGGTTTTGAATTGCTTGGCTCCTTTTGCTAATTTAAGTGATGCTGTATTTTACCTTTACATTAGCCCTACCTTCCAGAATGAAAGAAAAAAGTCAGTGAGCCAGATAGGAGCAAATGCTAAGCAGGACACAAAAATGGTCATGATTTGCTACTCAATGCATGCATATTATTGTTAAATAAAAAGCCTTTTAAAGTATTTTTTATTTGTACCTTCTAAAGAAAAATGGTAATAAAAATGAAAAGCCAAGAACAATTTTCTTTAACACTTCTCAGCATGTTTTTTTTTTTCTTTCAAGCCCCAGTAAAGTTAGGCCAGAGAGACATAAATAAAGCCATAGGGGCACAGAGCTGGACGTCAGCCACTATCTGAGTCAGCTGTTCGCCAGGTGACTGTACAGATAGAACCACAAGGCTCAGCTGGAATGTTTTCAAGCAAAATGCTATGTTACAGAAAACACAAATCATCATAATCCTATTAACTAAATAAGCTATGGTCATCTCCTTTCTGCTACTGTTTGTCCAATAACAGCCCTATGTATCATTCCTATTTTAAGTGTCTAAGAAATATCAAAATGGGTTAAAAAAAAAATGCTTGTATGGTGAAGAAGAATGTCCTTCGATGTGTGAATTGAGAGACTTAGAGGAAATTTTCTCTTAATTTTCCTCCTAAGTGGCTCTAAAGAAATCTTGAGCCTCTTTACACTGTTGGTTAATCATGCTCAGACCATCTGAGCTGAGGAGGATTCAAGGTCCTTCCTGCTCACATGAGGAAACCTAAAGAAAATTCACCTGTCCTTGCCCTGGAACCCACAGAAACAACTGCCCCTCCCACCCCGCAAAAAAGTTTTATTCATATGATAATTTTCTGTCAACCTAAAAACTACAATTTTTCTTTAAACTCTTCTGCAACACAAATGTAAGTGAAAAATGAACTTCAGTCAACTAGTTGCACTCCCAAGTTAAGCTTCCCAACTTTATGGAGCTCAGTTTCAGAGGCAGATGAAGATGACTTCTCAGGTATTATGCAGTGAAATGAGTATGTGATTATAATAACATTAATATACTTCATTTTAAAACAAAAATTTTTGACATAACAGCAAAGTATGCAAATTTAAGTATACAGCTTGATGATTTCAACATATATGTGTGCATAAACCTGCCACCAATTTTCTGATAAAACACAGAGTAAATGAAAGCAACTATGACCTCTGAACCATTTACTAACTATATGACCTTGGACAACTTACTTAAATTCTTAGACCGCTTTTCATCTGTAAAGACCAGATAACTATAGTTTGTCCCTTAAAATATTATTGTAAGAATTAAGTAGAATAATCCATAAGAAGAACCTAGTGCATTGACCAACAAACCATTATAATTGCTATTGTTATTACTATATAAGTGGCAAAAAATTTGACAGTATCAAAGTCAAACAGTCATTTTTTCAAGTTAAACCTCTCCAATGTGTATGCACTCAACATTTCCACATTCTATTGATTCTCTAGCCTGAGAGGGAGGAGATAACTCTATTAGCACATTGTAGACCCCAGCAGGTAGGACAGCGGCTTACCTTGTGGGCACAGGAACTTCAGTCAGGGCACCCAGCATGACAGCCTGCTGTAGCCTAACAAAGGCAATGAAAGGATTATCCAAAAAGTCAACCTCCCCAACAAGCACGTTGGAAGCTTCTGCGTCACGTGGCAATTTTTTCATGAACTTATTCTTCAGCTGCATGAAAAGAACCAAGAAAACACAATTTAGTTCCAGAGAGGGGAACAAAAAGGGACATCCCACGTATCACTCACAGGAAATTCCTTTTAACAAATCTACATACAACATGTTCTAGCTGGCCACTTTTATATTATGTTTAAACATACTATTATAGTAAACATTTACTTGGATTCAAAAATATTGGGGAATAGTCACATGGTTTACATATAAAACAATGTATCATACAACTTCATTCATTTATATATTCATTCACTCAACAGAAACTTGTTGAAAATCTACTATAAGCCAGGCAATACTATAAGCCTTAGGGATACTGGGATGGATAGACTAATTACATGTCCCTCTTAGACTCATATTCCTGCAGGGGAAAAATAAAATATAAAGTGCTGATAAGCACTAAGTTAAACCAGGTTAAAAAAAAAAGATACAATTTTAGAGAGGGTGATCAGGGAAGGCCTCTGAAGAAATACATTTGACACTGGAGTAAAGATACAAGCTACGCAAAAATCAGAGCAAAGAATATTCTAGGCCAAAAGAATGGTAAATGCAAAGACTCTGTGACAAGAAGCTGTTTGACAGTTACAGGAAAAGTAAGAAGCCAAGTGTGGTAGAAACTAAAGGAACAAAGAAGAGAAAACAGTAGCCAAAGAAGTTGCATAGGTAAGGGGTGAACCAGATTGTAGGGCATAATAGGCCACAATAAGGAGTTTTGGAAGTTGCAGGCAGGAATTACCTACCAAAAGCCCAAGTAGAAAGATAGAGCGGAGCAGGAAGACATAAATTTGGGAGGCATCACCACATAAGCAGTATTTGGTACCATAAGATAGGATGGCACAATCCTGGGTGTGAGTGTAGACAGAGCAGAGGGGTAAGAGGTAAGTCCTGGACCACTCTAACTTTTATAGGAATAAGAGAAGAGATAGGCAGAGAACACTCAAAAAGAAGAGGAAAACCAGGGCTTCACCAGGAGCCGGGTGAAAAAAAAACAGCTCAATAAGGAGAGTAAATCAGTTGAATCACAGGCTGCTGAAGGTTCAGGTAAGATGGCAGCTAAGAATGGACCAATGAATTTGGCAAGATGGAGGTGCTGGGGATCTTGACAAGAGCTGTTACAGTGGACACCAGGGAGTAAAAATTATTTTGAGAAATGTTGCTACCAAAAAAAAAGCTGAGAAATGGGAAAGCTAGGGGAGGAAGGAATAAAATAGATTTCTTTCTTTTTTTTTAAATAGAACTATTGTATAAACAAACAATGTATCTTGATAGCAAATATTAAGGAATTGGTTGAGAAGTGAAAAGATTCCATCAAATTTCTTGTTTGGATAATATAAATAAATAAACACATATTAAAACCTACCAACTTAAAAAAAATGTTGTTAAACCAGTCGTAAGGCAAAATTTCAGTATATTAGAGAAATATCATTTTACTTCATGGATTAAGCCTTTTTGATTTCATAGTCCTCACTTTTTTTAAATTTTACTTTAGGTGTATACTATAGCAAGCATTTCTCCCCGTGTTATCCCTCCTGATCCTCCCCACCCCCGGCTGTCCCCACTTTTTAATTACAAAGGAGATGGTGATAGAGAAAAGAGGCCAATATTTGATTTTGAATAAATATTATTAAAGTTCGAGTAGAAGGACTTGAGATTATCTAAACATTACTAGTTAACAATTTATTTCATTTACCTATGACTACCTTTCCTTCAAAAAAAGCAGATAATTGAGGACTTCTATGATTTTATTTCTTTAATTTTTAGTGTATCATTTTCATGAAGAAGGAAAAATCAGACTGGATTTTGCCACTGACTCAATGGCATAGTTTGTCAAATACTTACAATACGTTTTTTTAATTGTACTTTAGGTTCTGGGGTACATGTGCAGATCATGCAGGGCTTTTTTGTTGTTGTTGTTTTTGTTTTTTTTTTTTTTTTTTTTGGAAAAAGAATAAAGAAGAGGAAGAAAGAGGAAAGAGGAAGAGGGAGAAAGGATGGGGGCATTGCTTTATTGCCCGGGCTAGAATGCAGTCTAAATATGGGTATGCCTATAATTGTCCTTAATAATGGAGATATAAAAGAAAATAAGGGAAGAGAATAACAAACAAGGAGCCAACCAAGATTTCTTTTAAACTTCTAAGTTGATATGATGTGGTACTGATAAGAGTGTATATTTTGTATATTTAAAGTGGAGAGTTCTGTAAATGTTAATTACATTTACTTGTTCCAGATCTGAGTTCAAGTCCTGAATATTGTTGTTAATTTTCTGTCTCATTGATCTGTCTAATATTAATGTTGAAGTCTCCCACTATTATTATGTGGGAGTCTAAGTCTCTTTATAAGTCTTGTATGTCTGCGTATTCCTGTATTGGGTGCGTATATATTTAGGATCTTTAGCTCTTCTTGTTGTTGCATTGATCGTTTTATCATTATATAATGTCCTTCTTTGCTTCTTTTGATCTTTGTTGCTTAATTGTAACTTCTGCTTTTTATTTATTTATTTTAGCTCTCTGTTTGGTTGGTAAATCTTTCTCCATCCCTTGTTTGGAGTCTTTGTGTATCCTTGAATGTGAGATGGATCTGGATGCAGCATACTGATGGGTTTTAGTTTTTTATTCAAATTGCCTGTCTTTGGATTGGGGGATTTAGTCAATTTAAATTTAGAATTAATAATAATATATGTGAGTTTAATACTGCCATTAGCTGACTATTTTGTCCATTAGTTGATGTAAATTCTTCATTATATTGATGCTCTTTTTGATAATTTTTTTAGAAAGGCTGATACTGTTTGTTCCTTTCTATGTGTAGTGGTTCTTTCAGAAGCTCTTGTAAAGCAGGCCTGGTGGTGATGAAATCTCTGAGTGCTTGCTTATTCACAAAAAACTTTATTTTTCCTTCACTTGTGAAGCTTAGTTTGGCTGGATGTGAAATTCTGGGTTGAAAGTTCTTTTCTTTAAGGATGTTGAATATTGGCCCCCACTCTCTTCTGGCTTGTAGGGTTTCTGCTGAGAGATCTGCTGTAAGTCTGATAGGCTTCCCTTTGTGGGTAACCTGACCTTTCTCTCTGGCTGCCCTTAGTATTTTCTCCTTCATTTCAACCCTGGTGAATCTGACGATTATGTGCCTTGGAGTTGCTCTTCTTGAGGAGTATCTCTGTGGTGTTCTCTGTATTACCTGGAGTTGAATATTATCCAGCCTTACTAGGTTGGGAAAATTTTCCTGAATAATGTCCTGAAGCGTATTTTCCAGCTTGGATTCATTCTCTTCGTCACATTCAGGTACACCTACCAAGCGTAGATTAGGTCTTTTCACATAGTCCCATATTTCTTGGAGACTTTGCTCGTTCCTTTTTATCCTTTTTTCTCTAATCTTGTCTTCTTGTTTTATTTCATTGAGTTGGTTTTCGACCTCTGATATCCTTTCTTCTGCTTGATCAATTCAGCTGTTAAAACTTGTGCATACTTCACGAAGTTCACCTATTGTGTTTTTCAGCTCCATCAATTCACTTATATTCCTCTCTAAATTGTGTATTCTTGTTAACATTTCGTCAAATCTTTTTTCAAAGTTCTTAGTTGCTTTAGATTGGGTTAAAACAAGTTCTTTTAATTCACAGAAGTTTCTCATTATCCACATTTTGAAGCCTGCTTCTGTAATTGGAACACACTCGTTCTCCATCAAGCCTTGTTCCGTTGCTGATGAGGAACTGAGATCCCCCGCTGAGGGAGAGGCGTTCTGATCTTGGGCATTCTCAGCCTTTTTTGGCCGTTTTCCTCCCTTCGTTATAAATTTATCCATCTGTGGTCTTTGAATTCACTGTCTTTGTAATTAGGTTTCTGAGTGGACGTCCAACTTACTGATTCTCAGCGCCGAAATCTGAGCAACCCACTGCACCGACCAAATCAGCGGCGTTAAGATTGATGGTGCTTTTTCGACTCTGCACCAAGAACCGTTGCTCCAAGGCGCCGGCAAAACCGCCTCGCCGGTCACAAGAGTCGCGCTGGCGACCCGTGGGGCTCCTCCACTGGGAATCTCCTGGTGCGTGAGCAACAAGAATTCATGTGAAGGTGTGGCGTCCTCTCATTCTTTGCGCTTTCAGTGGGAGCTACAATCCCGAGCTGTCAGTGATCAGCCATCTTGGATCTCTCTCATGCAGGGTTGTTGCACAGGTACATACACAGCAAGGTGGTTTGTTGCCTCCATCTCCCTGTCACATATATGTGGCATTTCTCCCCATGTTATCCCTCCCCAACCTCCCACCCCGCGCTGTCCCTCCCCTAGCTACCCTCCAACAACAGACCCTAGTGTGTGATGCTCCCCTCTCTGTGTCCATGTGTTCTCATTGTTCAACACCTGCCTATGAGTGAGAACGTGTGGTGTTTGATTTTCTGTTCTTGTATCAGTTTGCTGAGAATGATGGTTTCCAGATTCATTCATTTCCTTACAAAGGACACAAACTCATTGTTTTTTATGGCTGCATAGTATTCTACGATGTATATATCTATCATTGATGGGCATTTGGGTTGGTTCCAGGTCTTTTCTATGCAATACTCTTTTAAAGGTTCCCTAGACTTTTCACCATGGCTTTCTCACAGCAACCTTGTCGTTAGGACAAGTCCTATTATCACATTGTAATAATAACTTTTTAAAAGAAGCTCACAAAATCCAAGTGCAGAATGGAGATTAAACTCTCATCTCTTTCTCTGTGCATCTATCATATTTAGTTCCAGCATGTTGAGCACCGTGACAAAAATAATTGCAAAGGTACAGCACTTCTCTAAGCAACAAAATATGGCACTTTGAAAAGCAAAGCTAAAATTACTTTTAGCTTTCATGATCACAATCCATTTTTTCAGAACTGTCTTAATGATATAAAAACTATCACATATTTGTAAAACCAAAAATAGCATATTAAGGGGCCAAGTCTGTGTGAGCCCTGCATGAGATGGGAGTGGCTTTGCACAGCTGCAGTAGCACAGGGCGAGGGGCCTTCAAACTGTCAAGGA